CACGGCTGGCACGTCACACCCGACAAGATGCGCCTGCGGAGGCTACTCACGAAACTACGCTGTGGACGGAAGGCTTGTAGGACAGGGACCGCACCGTGCGTACTGCTGCGCGACGCAACACAGCCGTTTCAGCTTAGCAGCTTGGTGACGAAGCCAAATAGCTGCTTTCACACAGCGCTGCACCCCAGCCAGAAATCCAGCCCCAGAGTCCGGGCACGCAGGGTCTAGCTCCCTGTATACCTCCTTCCCGGCATCAAGCCTCAGGCCGGTCGGCTCTGCCCTAGTGTCTTGATATCCATGGGAAAAACATGCTGACTGACACAAGGCAGGGCAAGTTTCAGGACACAAACTAGATACAGAGTAATCACATTTCAAGAACAGGACACTGGCATTGTCTCTGCCTAAAGTCTTCCCTTCCCGTTGTCTTCCAAAGGGCTGAAAGGCAGCCCAAAGGAGGAAACAGAGCACAGCTACTGTGGGTACAGGATTAACACAGCATGTGCCTACATTCCAGTGATATTATACAGTTTTGTTTCACTACAGCTAAAGATCACAAGGTATTTGATGACTGTGCCTCTAAGTTTTGAAAACAAACAGAAAATGACTCAAATAAAAGAAGCATCTCATAAGTAACTTTCCCCCGCCTCCACAGTGCCCTACCTCGTAATTCACTGAATCTACTGCTCTGATAATGCAGATAATTTCCTTTGAAAAACAGTTATCAAAGACTTTTTCCACTGCCTTTGATTATTCTGATTTCTTAAGCACGGATTTTAGCTGATTAGAATTGTAACTTTCTCCTGCGTTGCAGGAATGAATAACAATTGTAATTAAAAAAGAGGACATGACCTCATTTCTATACTTATCTCTGGAAAGCCCGCACTATATCAAAGTGCAACTATCTTTGGGATTTAATCTATCTGATAAAAACGAGAAATAGGGATAGCTTTCTTACATAAATTAATGTTATTGCAGATAAAACAGCACTTAATGTTGACAAAGTTGTGACCTGTTGATAACCGCATGTTTTATAATCATTTTCAACTGAGAAATAAATTGTGGTTTATTTAAAACAGCAATTAATTTTGACTAGGAGCATGAGAAAAAATTAATGACTCCCTTGCGCTGAGTTAATGCCAAGTCTCACAACAAGAAGGCGTCTTCTGCCAAATTCAGTCAAAATGCATTGTTTTCCATATAGGATGCAAACCTCCCTTTCTCTGATGCAACTCTTCACAGGTCCTGTGGTTGCTGCACAAGAACCTCCAGAAAAATCAGAGATGGTAACTCATGCTTGAAGGGTTCAGTGCTTTTTACACGTGCATGTCTAGAGCATTTTGGTTAGCAAAATCTCTGAAGGCTCCTAGGACAACACTGGAGCCTCCTACGCTTCAGACAGACTCTTTTCCAGTAATCCGAGTTCTTTGAGATGTACAGTCTATATATAAGCCCAGCTGGTGCACATTCACACTTCCTGTCAGTTTGTCTCAACTGACAATACTTTTTACCCACAGGTGCCCTCACACTTTGCGTTCCCTCATATTCACAGCAATGCTGAGCAGGAAGTCTCAATGTCACTTCATCTCAAGAACAGGAGATGCTGAATGAGTGGGTAAGGCAGAAATAAAATAAACATGCATGTGGTCATGCATCTCGAAGAACTCTGGCTACTAGGAAGTAACCTCTTTCCTTACCTTTAAGTGTAAGGTTGGGCATATGGCCCACCTCTGAATGGTCATGTATTTCCAGGCTACTAATTTCCAAGAAGGTAACAGTAAGTCTCTACAAGTACTGCAGAAGGGAGAAGTTATTCAGTCTTGGATAACAGGGTATGCAGGCATTTACAATGGGAATGGACATGTGGATTGTTGCTCTTGGACAGAACTGAAGGTGTGAAGACCTCAGTCCAGGAGGACTTCTCATTTTCTTAACAGTTCAGTGCAACGATTGATACAGGCCACGTATACTGCATGTAGACATGTATACACCAATGTATAGAACAATTATTTGCAAATTACTTTTATTCTTAAACAAGAAGAATACTGCGCAAAGACTTCCAGACAAAAACCTCAGCCAGAGAGTTGCAAAATGGTTGCACTTGATGATCTTAAAGGTCTTTTCCAACCTTAATGATTCTGTGATTCTGTGAAAAAGTACAGCTGAAAATGAGCACAGCATAATTCTGCCAAATTCTGCAGAAGTGTATTTTTGCACAGGAGTATAATGATCAGACCAGTAAACTGCTTCTTGAGCTGCTACATTTTTAAGAAAACTTCTGAAGTAGAAGAAATCCTTATTGAATAAACAACCACATTTCTTACAAGTGATTTGCCAATCACATTGGCTTTATAGCCTGATACATTTTTGGGTATCTTCTGACGTGACAAATGTCCATCCCTGAGTCTTTGAGATGTTTGGAATCTCATCTGCTGAAGCCTTCTCAGAGCAGGTTAGATGAAAACCTGTCAGGAACAACACCATATGGTCTGTTCTGCCTTTGGGAGGCAGGATGGACCAGTGATCCCTTTCATCACATTTTTCTTTGATTCTTGAGACAGTATCTCTGCATCTGTTGCAACTTGTGAAGTTCTTGAAGTCAGGTGAGAGCAAAATTCTTTGACATATGTTTCTAGTGCCTTGCATCATCAGCTCACATTTCCTGAAGCTGATGCAAGTGATGCTGATACTCACCGGGAAGTCTGAGAAGATCTTGTTAAGGTCTTCTATGACCAGATTCTCCAGACAGGTCAGTACCAAAGAGTATCAGTGTTCTGAGGAGATTTTGTAAGATATTACTTGTTGGTGAGAACTTCAAGAGGTGCTGTCACTCACTTGCCTTGAGAAGACAGAATTTGGATGGCTCAGGGGAAACTGCTCTTCTGCCTGGATCTCTTGAAGAGAAGGATTTTGTGACCTATTGCTGTGGGTGAGAAGGTGAGAACTACCTCCTAGAGTGCTGTGTGGAGGATAAGCTACCAGCAGAACACTATTAGGTAGAACAGCAGTAAGGAACTGTGTCTTCCATGGTATCAGCAGCTACAGAAGGCACACCAGAGACTGGGAAGTTTTTATGTGATAATACCACATGCACAGTGAGACCTTGACTGAGAGTTTTTTCCCTGCCATAAGGAAGCAACTGAGGTACAATATTTTCTGGAGCTCACTAGTAAGTGATCTCGCATCCTCAAGGTCACCATGAGCAGTGCACCAGATGTACCATATCAGGTGGTATAGGCAACAATGGAGAAGAGAAAGCAGCTTTGAAATAATTCATTAGAAAAAAACTGTTTGCCAATTGCTGGATAATTAAATCGTTCTACTTGAAAGGTAACAGAATGTTCCTGTTTTCTGTAACACAGTGTTTCTCCCTACATTTACTGTACATCTTTCACCTCTTATTTTTGTTTTTATAAGCTCAGTATGTAGACTGCCTTCTGAGACAGTGAAAGCTGTGAGCTCCAGCAGATCCCTCTGGAGCTCATCTTATACTACATATTTTCTCCTGCCAGTGCACATGTGGGATTGTGGTGGCTGGCTACAGGCTCCCAAAACAAGCTGGAGAAAAAGTTTTAACTTAGCAGGCCCCCATGTGAACAGTGTACGCTGGCAGAAGCTTTTGTAATACAGAACCTCTGTGTCAGAATTTGTGCAACAAGGTTTGGAAAGGCTTAATTGCTTTTGGTAACAATGTCAACTGCTCTTCCAATCGTACTGTTGGAAACATATGTGTTGATTTCTTTATGTGGAAAGATGAGAGGGAATATTTCTAAGAATCCATTAAATATGTGGCTGTGTAGGTGGGGACTATTGAATGGTTGACAGTAAAGTATTGAGCAAGAAAGAGGAGCAACATACCCTTCTGCCCCATTCTCAAAAGAGTTCAGGCCTATAACTGAGATACTCAAGATCTTATTGAAAAAAATGAATCAGTAGCTTAAGACCACAAGCTTACCTTCACACTGATCTCCAGTAGATGATAATGTGTAGCCTTGGTTACAAATACATCTGAAAGATCCTTCTGTGTTCCTGCAGCGTCCATTCGTACAGAGCGATCGGTGCTGGCATTCGTCTATATCTGTAGCAGAAGAGACAGTGAAAACATAACACACCTGAAAATACCAATTACTAATCAACTGGTGCACTAACCAATTCTGAACAAAACAAAGCAGAGTGTCAATATCCAGTACTGCTTCTCTTGGTCTTAATTTATTAATAAATGCAAACAGTCAATATAATGCCTAAAAATACATGAAATTGCAGATCGGATGTTTTCCTTGAGGTGACTGCATCCAGCATTCTCTGCTGTAGTGTCAATATATCCCTCAATGCACAAACAGGTACACACAGACACACAAATACACACACATGCTGCTTGAGAGCTGCTTTTGTTTCTTTTATATCTGGCAAAGGTAACAAGCCAGCAGCTCCAGTGAGTCAGCAAAACCCACAAAATACTTTCCAGCAGGATCACCACCTTTTAACAGGGTGTGGTTTTCAGATGCACACTGAGAGGCTGTTCCCCTATTAAGTTGTACCTTAAGGCTCCTTTAAATACTTGCCTTGTAACAGTATTAATCCTCTAAGTATGGGGAAATGTCTCTTTGCTTCCATAACCACTTGCTAGTCCCTCAGCGCTTCAGTTCTCATAAACTGGGGTCAGCCTGGGTTAACAGTGAACTTGAACATCAAACTTAAATTTTCCTATGAAAAGCTCAAAATATTGTAAGGGAGTGGCACTTTGAATTCAGAACATAGCACATGTCTTGTATGAGCTAGGGAACCTGTTCTCCCTCCCTTATTTATAAAATACTTGTTAAGGAACAGTAATTAAATTGATATGGTAGGTTCTGAGTCACTTCTAGGATTTAGGCAGGGCTGAATCTTTCTGAAAACATACTCAAAGCAGCAGAAAGTTACTCAATGAGGTTTTTCAGGTCTGTGTTATGGCTATGTAGTCCTGACCTCTTGAGTAATGTTCCCTTGCGATTGCAGAAGTCTTGAATTTAAGGATCACTGAAATCTGTGGGGCTGCATGAAGCATCTGGGCATGTGTACAGGTCTTCACTTTAGAAGGGTGCACTTTAAGAAGAACAGTCTGTACATGCCAGCTCAGCTTGGCAAGGGCCCTTTTCCATGAAAGGCTCAGAGGAAGCAGTCAAATTTTGTCTACATACTTTCCCCAAGACCAGTCTGCTGTGCGTCCTGGACAGCACATTTAACTCACTCAAGACACTTAACTTACACTGATGTTTTGTTTCAAACTTCCTGACAAATTTACACGAATGATCATTTAGTTTTACTGTATTATTTTTAGCACTCAGAAGTCTGAAAGCGTTTGGTGCTATATACAGACACTTAGCAAAGGGTAGGGGGAAGGGAAAAGAAAAAACAACATCTGACAAGAAATGTTCAGGTTTCTGCATGCTTCCACAGCTTGGAGACATTCTTGCAGATTTTCACCTTTGGGGAGAGGTTTGAAGAAGCCTCCTCTCCCTTAGGATAGGGATATTCATACCTCCTGTACACACTCTAGGTTCTCCCTCAGACTACTCTGCTCTGACTTCAGACCTAATTTTGTTCCACTGGAGCAGTCCTGGTGGGAATTTTAGATGTGGAAGAAATTTTGAACCCGACACTCTGGAGGTACAGGTACTGTTCTTAGAAATATGACACCAAACTCTCTCGCTACTAAATGTACTACTTGAAATGCAGTAACACCAATGCATCAGCTCAGTGTTAACTGACACTGCCGGGCTCCAACAGGGTGCAGCCTGGGTTTTTTGATTCCACTCACCCACGTGAAAGAAAAAAGGTAGAAAGAAAAGCAATTAAGGCAGTGAAAGCCACTGTCCCCAAACCTTCAAAATGACAAATACCAAGGATTTTGCAGAAATTTAAATTTAGCAATATAAATATTGTTACACATCCTTGATTGGCTTTATAACAAATGTCAAAATCTACAATGTGACCATGGAAGCCATAAAATGGAAATACATATTCTTACATTTTTGGTTATTTAGCCTCAGTGTCGCACATTTATTGCTCCTGCATTTAAAGGCAAAGTATTAAATGAAAAATATTATCTAAAAGGTAAGTGCAACCTTATGAATTTTAATCATACTCTTTCCTACCTTCACACTGATCCTCTGATGCAGACAGTTTGAAACCTTGGCCACAAATACATCTGAAAGACCCCTCCATATTTTCACAATGTCCATTTGTGCAGAGATTGCCATACTGACATTCATCTATATCTGTGAATACAAAGAAACTCATTTCAGTTGAGCTTGGGAAATTATTCAAACTCTGCCATAAGCATGGTTAGATTCAGTTTTCCTGTAGATTTTGACCTTGACAATTCTGCAGCAATTCTGATTTTAAAAAAGGATTTGGACTTGAGCTGGCTTGTACTCAAAACACTCAACTATACTCAGAGCCCACATGACTAAAACAATCCTTTCATCCCAGCACTCAAGATCTGCAGTTTAAGGCTAACAAAGCTTTTTCTTCCTTTTCTTTTTCTAGATAGTGGTTGCAGTATGAACTAAATGCGTCCACATCATCCTTACCCAAACAAGATTATTTTGCCCATAATTTTCCCACAGTAGCTTAAACCAGTGCAACTTCAGTACAAAGAAGAGGTCAGTAAGTGCTGGCACATTCATTCTTGCATTACACAAATTCACTCCTAGGGTATGTACCTGTGACAAAAGCACTAGCAGCTGCCCATACCTTGTAACCATTATCACCAATCCTCCTGCTATTGCAAGGAACAGTCCAGAACAGCAGACACAGCTCATGCTGGCAAGTCTGTGTTAGAAGTTGTTCTCTCTGAAATCATTTTTAAAACACGTTCCCTGGTCAGAATCCCAAAACCTGCTGCCTCTGCTTGTTTACCTGGAGCTTACCTATGGGTGCGAGGGAACAAGCAGGTTCTCTCAGAAGCTAGGAAAGACCTCAACCACATTTTCTGCTGTTGAGTTTTTGCTGTTTTTTAAAGCTAGGTCAATTAACGTACAGGATTTAGAGGCGTTCTCCAGTGCATAACCAAAGACTATAGAAAACACATGTACTTGTGAGACCTTCATAGATGACATTTTACAAATGGACTTAAAGGAGGTAGGTTCTAAAGGACTTGACTGACACCTGAGGAATTTCAAGGGGATTTCTGCACTTCATGCAGGTCCCTTTGTAAGGCTACTTTATATGGGCAACACGGTACTCCATTTAACTATGCCTTTATAACAGAAGTTTTAGAAGCAACATCTCTCTTCTGGCTCACACACCATCCTTTATTTACAGGAGGACTTGAAAGAAACATTTTTAAAATAAACTATCCCATAGACACCTACTTTCATCATTCTCTGAATGAAGGGTATTAACTAGATGGGCCACTCTTATTAGCCAACATAAAAATTGCTATGTTACTACTTAAGAATAATTTTTAAGAATTCCTTCTGAATGCAATTTGTATAAATCAACAAAAAACTCCAGACATATAAATAAATAACATCTTTCATTATAAACCCAGCCAGAATTAATTCAGTATTCTAAAATAATCAACATTGTCTTCTCCTAGGAGTGGTTTTTCCTTAAAAAAATAAAAGGTTAATTTTCAAATTTTATTTGTTTATTTTCAGGATGTAGTTAACAGCAAGCAGCTGTCCCTGTTTGTACGGAAAAAACTGTATTTCTTAACTTCACTGATGCAGAAAAAGAATTACACCTTACTTGCTTTTATGTGCCCGAAATCATATTACTCACAATTACCCTGTCTTTTGCCGCCACAAAGCACACAAAATCTGTCAACATAAGAGTAAAACTAATGATTATTTGAGGCACTTGAGCTATTTAGGCAGCTGTAGCACAGGGAGAGCTGGAAAAAGATTAGAGATCTTTAAATCATCATCATAGCTCTTATTACTTATTGTGAATATCTACAGTAATTATTTTCCTCATATGTATTTATCATTCTCGGCTCTTTACAAGCTCCTGTACAATTTGCCTTTGACAAAGCCCATCTCCCCCCAGACACAAACAAAATCACCATTATTATCCATGTTTCAAATGACCCATGATTCTTGTTTCCCCACGTGAGCCTCTAACTCTGTAGGTAAGATGCCCTGTTGCAGCCTGGCCACGAACATGAAGCGGAATCCTCCCAAGAGATGACAGCACAGGTCCACAGGTGCTCTGCTACGGCAGTTCAGTAGGTGATACTACTTACACTCCTCTGCAAGGCTAATTTCTCAGATCCCATTGCAAAATGTGCTTGCTCAACAAAACACAACCTTTGCTCTGCATACATTGAATGTATGTGATCAGTGCTCAAATTAAAGAATTTCTTAAAACACAGAGAACCTAATTCAGCAGTCAGGCACGTGAATTTCCAACTGAATAACAAATGTGCTTCTTAAAGATTCATTTTCATCTACTTATCTCCAAGCTACTTGAAAACAAAGCTTGCAATATTATTTCTGATATTTGGATGGGACTTGAAGATCCAGAGACTTTCCAATAAAGCCAGCAGGGAAGCCAGGAACAGAACCTAAATCTTCTGAGATCAAGTCCAGAGCTGTAACTGATTCTATTGAAGCTCCCTACAGTAGGGCTAGAGGTATATGCATCAGCTCTGCTGACCGCTATATTACTTTTGAAATCTTCTGATGTGGTCCCTAATGCTGTACAAGCTGAATATTGTTAGTTAACATAGCCGCAAAATCTACCACAGTGATAACCATGAGGATGCAGTGGTCTAGAAAGTTTTGTCACAGAATCATTAAGGTTGGAAAAGACCTTTACGATCATCAAGTCCGATCATCAATCCAACACCACCATGCCCACTAAATCATGTCCCAAAATGCCATGTCCACATGTCTTTTGAACACGTCCAGTGATGGTGACTCCACCACCTCCCTGGGCAGCCTGTTCCAATGTTTGACCACTCTCTCAGTAAAGAAAGTTTTCCTGGTATCTAGTCTAAACCTCCCTAATTGTCAACCCAATTTTTTTCATTTATTCATCAATACACAGAAGTTTGCTCTAGATTCACGGACTACTTTATTGTCATCATATATCATGATATATCACTTTATTTGAATGTGCAAACGTGGAGACAGAAAGAGGAAAAAACCTGTGACTGCAAGTAAAGTTCAAAAAAATTATTTCAAATATCCCTGTACAACACAAATGCACTGAGGGATCTGGGACAGTAGCAATTTCAAGACAATGAGGTGGCAGGGTGTGCAAGTGCCATTTTTAATTTCTTCCAATATGCATCTCACACTGGATATTGCCACCTAACTTGCAGTTAAATTTTTCTACATAAGTCTAAAGTGAGCCAATTGACTTGCCTTTATTAGACAAAAGTAGCTATGTTCCTGGCTTTAGATCCTGGAATAATACCGTATAGCTAGCGTCAAAGAACTGTAGAATTGTTACAGTAAACTTTCTAGGGCATCAAGTACAGGCAGAGGAACGAGCCGAGGTAAAAAAAAAATTACTGAAAACAGAGCTGGGGAAAACCAGCAGATCTGCAACTGACCTAGACTAACAGCAGAAACAAATTAATTCATGGAACAATGGACTTAAATACCCTTCATAGATAACTTGGGAAATATTTTCCGCTTCCAGTGTATTTAAATTGTACTGTTTTGTAAAGCTACAGATTTAAGACAAACTCTGTCTGCATTACGTTTTCTAAAATGTGTATGGCTCATTTCCAACATGATGTAAGTCTAGGATAAACAGAAAATGAAGACTGATCACATCACTAATGATGTGAGAGAGATGTCCAGGCTTAGAACATTTCATAAAACAAAGGAAAAAGGGAAACTACATGCAGTAATGCAAGGGAAAAAAAGTATCAGCAACTTGGAAGCAAGACTTATCCCTTACATGACTTAGTTTTGTTTGTAAATCTGAGTAGAGCAGTGGCTTCTTTTCTCTCATTCTACTCCTACTAACCTGGTTAGCAAGAATGAAACAAGTGAAGGTTATGCCATGGCATTTTCACCCAGGCTATTTTCATAAATAGGTTGAGAAATCAGACTTAATGTTGTGAAAGAACGCAAAATTAAATCAATTTTACATTTTCCAAATGAGGAATTAAATAAGAGGAAACCTTTCTTAACAGAGTGCATGTGCCACATTCTTTGCAAAGGTAGCAGGAATCCAGGCAGATGGGAAGGAGCAAAACAAAGATGAGCATGAACATGTGCTAAGTGAACCATAACAGTTTTCTGTAAACATGTTATAACTCTGCTAAAATCCATGAAATTACCCGAGAAGCACATTCCTCCACGATAAGTCAAATGACAAGTCATAATGTGGCCACAACAATGCTGATAAATTGTAACAGGCAGATGTTCAGACAAATAATTTGCTACAATATGCCTTCATTAGAAAACAGAGTGGTTGAAAAAGGTATCGTCTGTACAGCAAAAGCAGTGGTGAGGCTCTGACAGCTACACCATCCATTTTTCAGGTGCTTCACTGCAACCTGGCTCCACATCAAAAGCCCATTTGCGGCTGGAGCGCAGTAGATGCTCACCTTCCACTGCTATTTCAACTAAAACAATGCTCTTGGACTTCATGAACTGAACCAAATCACAGCAGCTGGGAGCGATTAGGAAATAAGCCCTGGAAGCACACTGCCAATCTGTCCTAGAACAATAATGCAAACACCTCCTGTGCAGGTTTTTATACACCTATGTTTAGGTGTATAAAAAGCAACACGGTTACTCCAACCATCAGAAATTATAGGGCATGTGTTGGACAGGAGGATTCACAACAGACAGCAGATCCTTTACAACTGACGTCAAATTTAAGTTTTCAGTAGTGCCCCAGGAAGTGGCACTCACAACTGCAAAAGATTATTTCTTTTTGCACAATGGATTCATTTGCACTTTTTTACCTACATCTCAAATAGCCAAAACTGATTTGGAAAAAAAATAAATCTGACATTTAAAAACAAATCAACAAAATTATAATGTAAGAAATCTGTCCTAAAAACCTAACCTAAAGTGAGACAAGCTGTTTTAAGATGTGTTGAGTGCTTTGCTGGAAGTACAGATAATTAAGAAGATTTATTAATGCTTTGTGAGCAAACTCCCATAGCCTATTGAAAAGCCTGCCAGTCACACTGATGTGTTAGCACACTCGTGTTTTTTCCATTTGTTAGTACCTCCAAACAATGGCTTACTAGCATTTCACTGATAACACATGACCTTCAGTTCCATATTTTCCATTTCAAGAATTTTGTTTTGCAGTTACAATTGTATTGTTTGCAGCCTAGATTCAATGTTCATTTATCTACAGTAAAACACGATTTCCTCATATATACTGTGTTTGAGAACACAAAGTCATTAAAAAAAAATCTCATCTTTTCAATTATTATTGAATGAAATGGGGAGCCAGGGCACAGTGCTGTCATCAGGCTGTAACATTGATGACGTAGGAAATAAGGCATCTCGGAACAAGAACTATAACCGCAGATACAAAGAGTACCGAACATACCATGGCAGTGTCCATTCCAGCCTCTGAATCCCAGTCTGCAAGGAATGCACTGGTAAGAACCAGGAGCATTAATGCATTGTGCATCTGGACAAGTAGTTGGAGTCAGGCATTCATCAATGTCTTTAATAGGGAAGATAAAAGGAAATACCGGTCAAAGCTGTAGCAAAAGATGGAACAGTAAACTAATCTGGTTATTCTGACTGTGCTCATGTTATACTAAAAGATTTAAAGATTTGCATACTTTATCTGTTAGAGACCCAGGAAGGTACAAGTTCTCACTTGTACCAGCAAATGGACGTCTCTGAGAAATAAATTAGATCATAGTACACGCAACGGAATCTGAATTTTCTGTTAATGCTGCGAATCTTTGGTAGGCCCTCCATAACATACAGCAGATCAGATTTCTGGCTTAGATATGTAAGAATAATTTTGCTTACATCACCCCTTTACCATATTGAAGTATCCTGAGGTTCTTCCTATATTCAGTCTCAAGAGACTTTGGAAGTGCATTGCAGCAACAATAAAACTGTAACTCTGGCTTCCGAAGGCAAAGAGGAATTTGGTATTCTCCAGTGTTCTAGAGTTATGCAGCATGTAAATATTATGTGGACTATAAATTTAATTATGTGATGGTAATCAAAGGTGTTTACAGGGAGTAGGGAGTTCATTATGTCTGAAAGAAGACACAAGTAACACACACATCACTGAGGCTGGCAATGTTTAAGGTGATAGAGGGACTTGTTGCATTAGGAGAGGTCCTAATTTACCCATGACAAAACAAGAAATAGATCTTGAAAAACTCATGGATCTCATGTCCAGGCTCTAAGTATCTACCAAGAACTTCTTATCCTGCACCAGAGAAACCCACAATACATGCAATATATGCAATCTAAAAGAGACTGCATACAAAAATGACATTCAAAGACAAGTTGCTGTCAAGTGACCAGTGATGAGAAGATGCTGGAATTAAAATTGTGTGGGCAGCCTCATTCCAGTCTGCTCCCATACTTGAGTATCTTTTTATAATATGGTCTTTAATTACACAGTAATTATAACATTTCCTAACAAACACTTGTTTCATGCAGTGCACAGAACTAATGAAATCAAATTCACCACTAAATCCAGCTTCCTAAGCTCCGGTCCCTTCCCTACCCCAGGCATACTGGTTGTGTCTTCTGCAGTTAAGGACTGCTACTCCAGCACAGATAGCAGGGAGGCAATTTACTCCTCGTTTTGGGACCAAGCTCACAGAAGAAATGTAGCCTCCAACACTTGAAATTTAACTGGACAATGCTCCAATCTTCGAGAATTGAACAACCCAGCTCCAAACAACACACTGGATGTGGGCAAATCACAATTTTTCATAGAATCATGATTGTCCAGCTGAGAATACTCTCTCATAAAAACAGCAACAGGCCTCTTCTACTGCTACGATGCAGACCTGCAAGTGTTTCTCAGTGAAACTGCTGTGAGATTTTTTATTTAATTAACGAAAAAATCCACGTCTCCTGAAACCTGTTCTCAGAACGGCCTGGACTGTATCTGCCCTCAAAACACACAACATGAATGACGTATTTGCTACAGAAATTTTCAGTCAAAATAAAGTCTAAACGCTGCAAAGCTTAAAGAAATCACAGGAAGATTTTATAGGAATACTTAATCGTATGCAATGATGTTCAGCTATGCCTATAACACTGTTCTACATAAACAACAGACTCTACAACAATGTATGTGCACTCCTTATGTTTCCCAGGCTAGGCCCACAACAGAGTTTGCGTGAATATAGCTTGAAGGCAGAATGAAGATGGGAGTGAGGAAGTGTAAGTGAACTGTGTGTATTGTGTGCAGCTTGGAGTATTCTTGACTTCATTTTTGAAGTGTGGAGGAGGTGGAACGGAGTTATTTGTGGAATCTGGAATCTGTCAGTAGGGTGACTATAACGTGTAGGTGTAATGACATGGTGAAATGATTCCCTGAATGTGTCATTTCCTCAGGTTGATGGATTTAGTGTAGGAGGGTTTTTCCCTTAAGCAACCTTAAAAAACTTTCAACAGAGAATTTGGTTTCAGAAAATACATGTTAAGTTAAATGATAGAGGACTACCACCACACTACTTAAAATACAAGCTAATAAGAAATTTGATGCACTGTGATATTCTGCTTTCTACCCTATTCACAGATAGGCTACACAGATTCCCTACTGACAGAAAAGATTTGGAAAAAATAGTTGTAAGAGTGGAGCATGTGAAACATTTATTTAAATAAAAAAATACAATTGTCTGAATAGAAAGAGGAATCTTTTAGCAATGCTCAGAGCAGCAAATATATCCACAGCAGCTTTGAGTTGCTTATTTGATAGGCAATCTAACATGTTAGCAATTTTATTCTAAGTAACTTAGACTAAAGCATGAAAAAAAACTATGTTTAAAATGGATTTGCTGTTTGTAGCTTTCAGTTCACAATTCAAGTTGAGAATGAAAAACGAAAAGAGAACAGCAAAAAAGGCAAAAATATTACAATGAAAAATAATGTGCAGTTTTAAAGGTCAGATGTTCTACGATCTCCTGCAACATCAAATACCTGCTAGATACATACTTCTAAATTAAAAAAAGGTCAACTTATCATTTGCTACCTGTTATAATATAGGAAAAATTATAGTGTTGGGTTTTTTTTTTTGAAACAGAAACTTGGTAAAGGACATGAACAATGAAGTTAAGAGATTCCATGGCAATAGCTGTTAAAATAGCTGTCCCAAGATGGTTGTGTCCATAGTGGGGGAACTCCTTTGCAGTCTCTTAAACCTAAATAATAGGAATTGAACTGCGGTTCCAGACATCAAATAACTGAAAAGATTGGAGAGTACTCAAAAAGGTTTCCTGTTTAAGACTGCACCCCTTGAGAATTCTCCCTTTGCAGCTCAAGCTGCAGTGCTAAGCCTCCCTTGAATAGCAGGCAAGGGTAATCATTCCAAACAGTGGTAATATTTGGCATTGGTTTTGTGATATGAATAAATGGTACTTCATGTCATCATCCAGGACATACTGTAGATAAAACAAGCAGTGTCCTTTTGAACATTTTGCCATTTTCAGCTGGTGTACAGGGGGAATTAAAATGATCTGAAGGCAAATTAAATGATGGAAGTAGCTGTGAGAGAAATCCAGAAGGAAGATTAAGCTAGAGAAATTACCCATGGAAATAAGCACAGAGTGGGATGGGGAAAGGGAACTCTGAACACAAATAGATATAAAACCACTGCCAAGACATTACACCTGAAATCAAATAGCAAAAGGAGATTGAAAGGAATTAAAAGAAATATACCAGGTAGAAAAATATTAATGAAAAAACATATTGTATTTTAGTATTTCCATCTAATGGCCAGATTTCTTCAAAATAAAGAAATAGATGTAGAGTTTTCTGTTGAGATCAGAAACAACAGTCAGTGCAAACAAATGGCTCCTCCTATTGCAGTTGTTTGGCCTGGCAACTGTTACTGTATTACTGCTGGTGAAGAGTCCAATCCTACCTTCACATTCACCTCTCCTGTTCATTTGGTATCCACTATCACAATATTCACATCTGTATGAGCCAACAGTATTTATACAAAAGCCTTCCCCGCAAGTATGAGGTCGTGAACATTCATCAAAATCTGCAGATAAAAAAGAGAAGTTAAGCAAAACTTTGCTTCACCATGAAATTACTGAATGCTTGCATCTCCCCTAAACTCTGCTTTAATTAGACATAGGATTGGATTTTCAAGCTGTTTGCAAGTCACAGCTCTACAGCCGTTCTTACTGAGCAGTTCCATCTTTACCTCACTGCTTGTAACTACAGAGAGAATGAGATCTAGAAAGAGCCAGGCTGTAGGAAGAACGTCTGTGAGCAGCCCTGTGGTTGCAAACACAATGTGCGTCACTGCGTGTACATTGTGCCCAAGGCAGCACTAACCTGAGGAATATCACAGCCAGTTCAGGCTGTTTGTATTGCTCTGCAATGTCCATGGCTGTTTATGATTTGTTATGGCTGCTAGTGACTGAAAGAGTTTTGAATATTTGTATTTGCCACCACAGCAGGTGTTTTTACTAAATGGTAATTTTCTTAAACAAGCATGATACTAAATTCTTGTCTTTCAACAAAGAAAATTTTTGAAAAGTAGTATGAGCCACTCAAATTTATTTTCCTCACCACAATACCTGGTGAGAGACAGTTAAAAACACTTCCAGACATCAGTCTGGTACCAATGACATTGAGGAAAAAAGCCGAGAAGGGTACTTATAGGAGTTTTAGAAAAGCTTCTTGATTAATTTTTCCCCCTTTCTATACAGGGGACAACTAATTACCAACGCAGTCGGTTCCATCTTCACTGGCCATGAATCCAGCTTGGCAAATACACAGGAAACTTCCTTCTGTATTTTCACAGCGTCCAAGGGAACAGAGATGGGGTGCCTGATTACACTCATTAATATCTATAAAAGAAATAAAACCATAAGACTACAGAACAACGTATTTAGTTGTGATTCTTTTCGTGCATTCTATGCCACGCTTTTGAAAAGAGTGATCTTACAATTATTTTAACTATTTAAAAAAGTGTATATTTTCCTCTCCCTCAGAGCTGCAAATAAGATGCATTACATAGTTTTGACTGGAAAAAAATGCTCTTAGACTATAAGAATATTGCATTGGCCTGAAAAATGCAACATGATTACTATTCAAATCACTACACTGAGCACAAGCTGAGCACAAGCTGCAAGCATGCAACATTAAGACAATTTGGATGAAATAGAAAGATTTTAAGTTGCCATTTGCTGCGTACGTCTGTAAATTATTTTTTAATGCTGTAGTTGCACCTGATAGCATGCATATCAGTGTGAAGTTACTGAACTTTTGGTAGCGTGAAAAGTTGATAGTATACAATCTGGCAACATGATGTAATAGACTCTTTCTGATCCAAGTTACAGAGGAACCAGCACACTCTGAAAGAAAGATACCGATACAGCTGCTTCCAAATCTGAAACAGCTCATGTAGAGCCAGTCTGGACTCTGCCTCATGTTCATCAGAGCCCCCTCTGTTCCAGAACTTACTAGTACCTTTGAAGGGGATGAAGACCTCACTCTGCAGGTCTCCTAAGGTGCTTTTGGCATGTTTATGATATACTTTATATTTTCAGCAGAAGGTTGAAAGGAAAGACCTAACAAAATGGTTGGATTTAGTCCAGCTGCAGAGCTGGTAACTGGGCAAATCATTCTGAGAAAGAGGCACCAAGGTGGCCATTCTTCTTCCAAACAGAATTGTATTTCTTCCTAGCAGTCTGATGATTTTAGATACCTGATATAAAGCTGAGAAGAAATGGTCTGTCTAATCACCTTTTCTCTCATCTCACAATGGGAAAGGCTTTCACTCAATTTAAATTCATGTTCAGTTCTGAGTGGCTGAAAGGCTACATCAGAGACTAGCTGGGAAATTTTATTTGACATACAAAAACTAGTTTGTTTCTGTGTAGTTTGAAAGCACTCAGCAGAGGAAGCAACTCTTGACTGCTCTGTGACAAAAACTAGTTTCTGTGTAGTTTGGAAGCATTCAGCAGAGGAAGCAACTCTTGACTGCTCTGTAGCATAGTTCCCCTGACCAGACTCTACATTTCATAGCATGGTTATTTCAGATATTTGAAAGCGTCCATTCATACCAGAGCACTTTGTCTGCTGATCGTTAAGTTTGTACCCCTCGTAGCAGATGCAAGTGTATCCCACAGGCAAATTAACACAGTGTCCTGCTCCACAGATATCAGGATTAACCGTACATTCGTTGATTTCTAAGCAAACAAAAAAAAGTTTAGTGTTAAATTCTCCCACGCAGTTCAGTAAGTGCACAATATTCTGTAATCCAGGTAGAAAGATCAGGCCTGAAAACAACTGTAAATCAAGTTTGTAAGTCCTGAGTTACTGTAATGAATACTTTATCTGGAAGAATCTAGAAACCATCTAGGCTTTTTCTAGTGACATATTCTCATGTCCCATCCAAGATCCATAAATGGGTACATAAAAAATAAAGTAAAATGAAGATAATACAAAATAAAAATTTACACAATTTCACCTTTGCAGCAAAGGTTAATAAAATAATTTTTTTTTCTCATTATTTTTATAGAATACTCCAAGTCTATAAATGGCTTACAATGTATTTTGTAAGATAAGGAGATGAAGATACAGGGAGAGCATTGGATGCTAAACCCCTACAGTAATTTTAGAAATTCTCAAAGTATATATATTACTGCAAAAAATACTAATGACTGTGTTCAGCTGCAATTTAAACTAAGGTTGTACAGCAGCATGAAAGCATAATTCCTGAAAAAGGAGTTATCATCTGTAAAGAAGAATTTATCCAGACTATTTAGAAATAGGTTGCATTTAAACTTAACCAAATCTTAAAGTACAGAATTAAGGCACTCAAAAACGTCTCAACTCTAACCGCATTCAGGTTTTTTTAATCCAATTTAGGATTTTGTCCTTCAAATCTGAGTTCATTTGTACTTTACTATGTCTTAAATATCTGAACAGCACTTGGAACTGTATCTGAACAGATTGATTTATTTGTCTACAGCACACAGCAATTTCTAGTTCCACTCCTTTTCCTGGGGAAAGAAAAAACAGCAGAACATGGAAAACTACCACTTTTTTCTAACTGATGTGAGTTCTCAGCAGGGTAACTTCCTCTCCCTGTAAGGAAGCAGGGAGCTGTCTGGCAGAAGGGGCACAGTCACAGCAGAGCTGACTTTCAAATTCTGGTTTGACAATCACCATTAGTAGAGCTTTCATATGGGACTGACAAACTGTAATTATAGGTAATTGAAGGAGGCAGCTGAATGCTTAGAGAAGACAGGATACTTTCTCTATCTCTGAAGATAGAATCATACTTCAAACAACTGGGTGATTTAGACCCTGTGCATGTTGCATGCAACTCAAAAATCCATTCCTGCATGCAGGAAAGCCATCCTTCAAGAGTTAAACTTTTATTAAAGCATGTGCAATTTCTTCCTCTAAATGCGAACTGGGAAACCTCTTGGTAGGCCTAGATATCTCTACCATATACAGCTTAAAGTATTTACCTGGATATTGCAATTACTTCAAAGCCTGTGTTAATTCTGAGAGACTAGCCAATGTGACATTGTAATGCTCTCATGTATACATACATATTACATTCACCTTTTTGTTTTCAAATTTACAGCAAGTGAAGTTTTCATGCATTTAGACACAGCCACCACTTAGACAAGTTTCAGCCATGATAGGAGCATTACTTGCATTTTCTGTTATTTTCACTTCTTGACACATGGATGTGGAAAAGACAACTTTTAATACATCAAAAAACGAAGAAGCACAAATGTCAAAGGAACATTTCAAAATGGATCTTACAGTAACTCATCTTCTTTTTGTAGAACATGCTGATCTACATCCCACGAAGTCTACATCCCTCAAAGAACATGATCACATGTACTTCATGAACACATATGCAGACTGTCTAAAGACCTGGCTTGTAGGCCGAGAAGTCTTCAGTTCTGGACTTCGGCTGCAGATCATGTAATCTGAGGTGGAATTATTAATTTTTCCTTCTATCATTTATTTGTGGGCACAAAAATGGCAGGTCCAGTCCTAGCTCTGTTGACAGTACCCTCACCACTGTGCTGTTCTGTACTTTCTGTCTCTCCCCAGAGTATTCCTTTGTGTTCTACAGCTACGTTCTCTTAGTTATTGTAATTCAGAAGTAGCATGGAACAAGTTATAGTGTCAGGAACTCACAGTCATTTCTTAATTTATTTTAGTTCTACAAAGGACGTACAGTACCTGTAACTTGAGTAGGTGCAATTACTTGACTTGCACTCGAAGTAGAGACTTCAGGAGCAACTTCAACAGGCAGAGGAGGAGATGTTTTCTCAATCACTACTGCGTGACATGGAATGGAAATCAATCACATCCAAAAAAAACCACTTAAAGCATTCACACATGATACTGAATGAGCCAGACTATGGAGCTTTTCATTAGTTTATTCTGATTAGATCTGGAGTAGAAAAAATGGTATAATTGGATTTTTCATCATTGCACTGCTTGTGAAAAAACTGACGTGCTAAAGAAAGCAAGCACAATAGTAAAACTTCTGTGGCAAAAGTTACATATGAATCTACACTGAGGCACCTAGGTAAAATTTCCTCTTGAGAAGGGTACAAGGCCTCAACTCCGCTGACATTAAAATTCGCATGTACGTAATCCAGGATATCAGTTTTGCCTAAGATATTTGTCTTTGCCTCCTAACAAGTCACCCAGAGAATGCCAAGCTCCCAATTGCTCTCACTTCAGCTTCCAGGATTATTTTTTTCTGTATTCTGGTCATGGAACAACTGCTTGTGAAGCTGCAATCGATTTTTCATTAACCTCTGTTACAATTGCTACCTTCCCATCCTTTGAAGAATTGTAAGCACTCTCTCGTACTAAAAGACAAGTCAAAACAAGTTACCTGGAAACTGTGGATGCAGGTTAATTGTAGAAATTCCAGGAGAAAGCTGAGGCTGCCCAGGCTCTAGATCAGGCTGCTTTTCTTGATCAAGGGAAGCTAATTCCTAAAAGAATGATTAAAAATTTAGATTCTGAAAACATACTCTTAATTCAGCTATCATAACAACCCACAACTCCTGGCTTGAGAAACTGCTAACATTCTCACAGGAGTGGCTTTTGATAGTAGATCATTAATTACCACCCATTTCAGTCTAAAAGAACGTGGAATACTATGTTTACACAATGGCATACAATTTAACATTGATTTTATTCGAAGCAGCCGTTTCATGGAGCTTCTACTTGCATCTTTGGGAATTCTCCCATTCTCTGGTCTTTCATTGCTTATGAATAGTATTTAATTGCAATTCAGCATCACATAAAAGTATACAATTGCGTATCTCTTAGTTTTTGACCAGTGTGAAAGGTTCTCTCTCAGCTACTGCACTGATTTGTATAAAAGTGTCAGATGTTGGTATGTCTTCGGGAAAATGAAGTACAGCTGCAGTTATTCCTAACAAATCCTATTATCTTCAGTACAGAAAACCTGGAACCTCCAGAATAAGGGACTTAACACATACACACTTGTTCTTCTCCACTCAGTACACAGCAACCCTAAAAAAACTAGGAAACTAACTTAGGCATTAATAAGCAGGTATCACAAATGCTTCTCAAAGTTTCATATTGTTCCTCTCAAATTCATTTTCTCTAGCTGTCAGTATGTGTGGCTCTCCTTCATACTGTCTGCATTTTTCAATATGCGCTTGAAAATAGAGGCTCCAGAACAACATGGAACAATATAGCACTGGACCCTCCAGCAGTGCCCTAAAGAGAAGTTAAAGCAATCTCTTTCCTGTACCTCACTACCTGCCTGTTGTTGTATCTAATAATAACATGAGCTCTTTTTGCCTCAGGGTTTGCACTGTAAGTCCACAGTGAGTTGCTTGTTCCTCATAAATCCATAATCCTTTTCAGAATTATCGTATCACATCTTGTACACCCGGTCGGCAGTCTAATTCCTAGATAAATCACATCATGTTTTACCTGATCAGGGGCTGCAGTTGCCACTAAAACCAGAAAGAAAAAAGAAAATTAATCAGTCTTCACATACCATTTACTTACACATTCTACTTAAAACTAGTAGTGGTTGTTGCCATCGCAGAAAAATTTCGGGCTCTAACCTCATTCCAAAATGATGCAAACTTGAAGTAATGTTCCTGAAGCAAGCGTAAAAACTAACCTGAAACCAGAATAACATTCTGCACACTGACCAATGCTTATAATTATTTACTCAGTATTCAGCTGCCTTATAGGTTTCTCAACTCTTTCCTCAGAGACAATCTGAAAAACTCACAGGTTAACAACTCACTGATTAAACTTTTTAAATTCCTTCCAAGGAATATCAACATCTGTAATTATTTTAAAGGTAATTTAATATCATAACAGTATATAACTAACCATTAACAAATTTGCAAGAAGTTACTGTAAAAAAAAAATCAAGTTTTGAAATTTGCCTTTTCTTTAAGCAAGCAACAGTAATTTGTTTTTTTTTCCCCCTTCCATAAAAGTTACTTTTTTCTGGGAAGGAGAGGTAGAAATTTCATATAATTTTTTATTTTCCATTGCAGTTTGCCTTTTTTGAATTTGTCTTTTACTGATGAAAATGTACATGCTTCTGTAAAAAAAGGTAAGAATATTTGCTTTTCACAACCAACATTTTCCACAGGATAGAATTTTTTTTTTTAAAAAGTCACTCTTCTTGCTCTAGTTTCCTCAGTATTAGCAGGGAGAATTAGATTATTAGAACTGGGAGAACTTGTAATAAAATCTAAAAAATTCCAAATGCAAGCATCCAAAAATGTAATATAAAATTCAAACATGTGGATGTGTCATTACTGACTTAGAGTAAGCATATTTTTAAAAGTTTTTAATTAAAAAACCCTCCTTTTTTCTCCAGATTCTCTGTGTTTTAAGACTTACTAAAACATAGCAATATTTCTAATTATTGAAGTAATATTTTAGCAAATGACACACCACTTTGTAAGACAGAAAAGCCCAGAGGTTTATGTAAGATTTTATAATTCATTACAGTCTGTAAGTATGATTTTGAATGGCTTATTTTTCTATCCCGATTCAGTTTAGCTCCGTTTTCTTTATAAAAGCAAAATTAGACCATTGATTTTAACTAGAAAATAACCCATGTCACACAGAATTTTGCAAAATCGGCTAACTGAAACCCTTTCTAATAATGGCCTGACATACAGATACATAACTGCTGGGAATAACCTACTGAGTACTCAATACCATGAGAGGGTTCTTCAGCAATGTATTGCTTCTTGTCTACAGTTAGTTCCTGCCAAGTTTGCTGGCACTGTATTTATAATAGTGCAGCTTTTTGCATTTCTTTGCTTCTGCATTTGTTTTAGACGCAGGAAAATTTTGGCTGCTACAAGTTCTTAGAAGAGCTTGCAGAAAACAAAGTCTGAGACAAACATCTTAGAGTCAACTAATTGATAATTAAACAGCCCAGCAGAGAGGGGCTGATCCAACATGGTCACGCCGAGGGAGTGCAGAGCTGCAGGGGTGACAGCAGACCACATGAAGAGGATGCATGCCCACATCAGGTGGTGCCAGTCTACAGGAGCTTATAGAAGGAAGATGATGAAAACCCCTTAGCTTCTGCCACCCCAAATACTAGTAAAACAAAGCCTGAGTCCAGTCCTTTGTTATAGGTTAGAGATTATAAATATCGTTATCAAATTCTTAAAACAAACATTTACTATTTCTTATCATAAAAACTGACAAGATTAAAGCAGTCTCTCTCCATGGTGTGCTCAGCACCTGGTAGGAGCTGTACATAAAACCTTAGAAGTGAATCATGTAACACAATGCACTCCACAGCACAGAACGCTCTGCTGTGGGACGTGGTGCCTCTCTGTCCTGTGCTATACACAGCTACTTCACAACGAAACATAGCGTTGAAGACACATGCACAGAAATATAGAAAGACTAAATTTTCCCACTCTCACCTTCTTGCACAGCCATCTCAGTCTCACTTTTCTGTGAGAAGGTCAGTGCCTCCACTGGCTCTTCCTTTGCTGGGAGAGGTGGAGGAGAAGTACCTTTAGCAACAGGTTGAGTAATCGGGGTCTTGCCAATGACAGGTGGCTGTACTCTAACTGCAGGGTGATGATATAGCTTGTTTCTGTGAGAGCCAGAAACCGTATAACCCATTCCACCAGGGCAGATTTCCTTAAAAGCAGCTAGATTTGGGATGGGAAAATATTCCTTTTAGGAGTCTAAAAGTGCAATATGTTGACATAGCGGAAAATATCATGACTACCGCTAATAAATTTAATCTCATATTGTATATACATTTTTACAAAAAAACTACTTAAAAACAAGCTATGCATTGCATGCTAATATGACTGAGCATTCTCCCAAAAGCATGTTCTGGCTGTTATTCCCAGGAGGTTTCCACTCCAGTTTACCATTTTTCTTCAGTTATGTTTAATCTATTATTATATCAAGATAATGTTTTGTACTAATCCTCTTCAAACAGTATATCCTTTCTGAGTACGCATTTGAATACACAAATTGTCACCATCATCTACACTGCATAAGGAATGAAGATCACTATTTCTATCATTCTCTTTTTGCAGAAACTAAAGGGAAAAAAGCTCACCACCCTGTACTAGAGGAGCAGAAGAATATCAACCAGTAACAACATTCATTCACAGGATCCCATTTGACTACATCAGAGGTCTCATACCAGTCCTGATCCAAATTCCACTGAATGGAATAAGTCTTTCCACTGTCCTCAGTGGGCTGGATAAAAACAAGATGGGGATCATAAAAAGTCAAATGACCACTGGAAGAGAGGGGAAATAATCTCTATATACAGAAAAAGGTAACGAAAGTCAGGCAGCAGCACCTGCCCTGATCTCTGCAGCTGCTCTACGTGAGCATCATGTTTTGCAGTCCTAGTGAAAGACTACAATGGAAAAGAAATACAGGTCAGTCTTCCTGCCCATCAAAGGCAATAGCTATGCTCCTGTTAGGGACAGAGGGACCTTCAGGAGTCTTGAAGGGGCATTCATTCACTGTCCTCATTGCTCTAGGTAAAGCTATGTTGGGATGAAACACCAAAGTTCTAGTCTCCCATGTGCCCAATGTGATTTCTTACAGCTTCTTAAGAGATATGTGGACTGGGGCATTGGTAAGTTCACAAATTCTGCTTTGAACACATCAGGATTTTTAAATTAATTGCCATGTAAAATAAAAACACAAAATACTAGCTATAGGTATTCTACAGATGAATTAATGAAATTATACATTAATCTGCAGTATGCATTAATTGCATACTGTGTTCTGATGGCATTCTAGTAACAGAAAAGACGAGGGGTCAAACTGATTAAATTGAGTGGATTCAGAGTGATGAAGTACTCTTTGTTGGGAAATGCTAATACCAAAACTTGCCAAAAAAACCACACAGCTGAGGGTGGGAATTCTGGTCAAAGGAGGAACACAGAGAAAATTGGATGCCTGTCCCTTCAGATGCATGCCCTGGATCTAGGAAATCTTGTTTCAGGTCATATTCTCTCAAATGCAGAACAGAAATGTGAGCCTCATTCTACCACAGCTCTGCTAAGTGCTCTCAACACCTGGGTATAAAAAGCTGGCATCTCTCAGTCTCTGTTTCAGAGCTAGTCTATGTTGTACTTTTAAAAGCTATCAGAGAGCGAGTTCATGACTTTTTAATTTGATGACTCTTAAATTAACATGGGATGCTGCAGTAAATACATTACCCCATTCTGGAGTATCCCACTTTCACACATTTTTCATAGAAAACTCTGACAGATTATGAATTTAACCTGTTATGGAAAGGAACATGTTTTTAAATCATGAAAGTTGTCATGAAATGGGAAAAGTGTTTCCCACACTGATCATTAGAATTTTTTACTCTCAGATTTTTTCTTTGAAGTCTTTTCATTAAGAAAACTCACTGAAATAACCAATTCCACATAATATTCAACGATGTATTTTTTATGACTAGAGAGCAGTCAATTTTGCAAAAAGATATATTCTCTGCTCCAGAGTACACACAACCGGGCATAAAGCTTCATGCAATATTCTCACAGATGTAAAGTATCTGCATTTAAATTGTGAGTCATCTGATGAGAATATATTTTTGCTACATTAAAAAGCCATAGAATTATTACTTATCTGAAAGTGAACTGGACTTTTAAAATCCTAATCAGTGATCTAGCAACTTAATGGTCACGCAGGAAACAATGGCTTTAAAAATCAATTGAAATGCTCAAAAATGTTGGTCACTTCCATTTCTGTAAGCCTGACTTCAAGGTAAGGATCTGCTGCTCTCATCATGTCTCTCATGCTAGCTGTGGATTTCCCAAAGCAGCTGGTTTTAAAAATCTGAATCTTTATAAAATACTCCAGAGAAATACATGACCTGTATCGTAGCAGTGACATCTGCAGCAGCAACTTCAGTAAGAACAGTGGATTAACATTACAAATACCTGTAACTAAATTATTGAATGGGCTGGACATCATGTATATTACAATAAGCAATGAGGCTTTTAAAAAGGATGAATTTGACCATACATTTGGACAAAAAAGAACATTAAACTGATTTTGACTAAAGTTTCCAACTTTAGTTATTTAAGTTTTAAGCAAAATCAGGGAATAGAAGGTACTTGAAAGCAGTGATCAGTATCTATAACATTCTATCTTAATCTATGAGCAGCCTAAACGAAGGTGGTGACCAACCAAGCTGGTATTTTCCAAGTCTTTATATATTTAAAAGGCAGCAGGACTCCAAGTGAACACTGATAAATACAAGCGAGCTTTACGTATCAAGTAAGGAACTGTTTAAGTGAAAAGTGGCCTGAAAAGTTTAACTACCAGTTTATTGTTAAGAAGCAAACAACATACTGAGCACATTCCTCAAAATGGATGGCAAAGATATGAAGGAAGGTTAGAAAGCAGAGATACTCCTATACATATTCTACTAACTGTAATGAAAACTACAACACATGTAGTTCTGTAACCTAATTCTCAAATGCTGACAGCATTCACCAGTGTCTTTAACAACTGAAGAGTATTAATCAGATTTTTTGTTAATTTGCCTGTTATCTATAGTCAGATTATAATGTACAATAACTTTATCTTCATGTGATGGAGAATCAAAGTTCAAGTACACATTCTGAGATGCAACTATTGTTAATGTGGAATCCTATGGCAACGTATCAAAGTAAGTCCTTTGTTTTAATCACAAATCTGTATGAACAAAACTACTATATATGTAATTATTCTACTATCAGGTAGAGAACTGTCATAATTTACTGATGGACACTTCTTGTTTAAAATCAGTTCTTGGATTTTTTTGTTAAAGCATGCATAACAAACATGCTGGAGGCAAGAGCTTGTATTTTTAATAAGCAGTTCTTACCTGTTCCTGGAAGAGGACACTTCTCACAGTGCGGGCCCCAGGCTTTGCCAACACTGCAACAGCAAAGCTGCTTGCTGAGCTGAACAGAAAGAGGATGCATGCATTGCTTTCCTGCACTAACAAAGCGGTAGCAGGGTCCTTTCTCTTCAGCAACTATAGGATTATCAGCTGCAATGAAAGTGGAAGAGAGGATGGTACTGTTAACACGAAAAGCAAAACAAAGAAACACCACTAGATTTCCAACACCAGTTAAATGGATTAATACTACCATCTGCAAAGTGTTATTTCAGACACCTATCTCAAACCATAATCACAACATACAAGACAATTCTTATTTTGCATGAAACACTCCTGAATTCCAACTCATCCTAGACCAAAGATAAAGCATATTTTAAGGAAAAAAAAAAAATCCAAACCAGCAGTTGCCATGCTGCCACAATAAAGAGTCAGAATCAGCACACTCACTTGCACACAAGTCCAACTGCTGAAGACTAAAGTCAATCACTGGCAATATACAGCTGTGTCAAGCTACATACCCACTGGAACATTCAGCTATAAGTAGGCTATATAAGTAAGATTGCAAAAGGATTAAGTATCATACATGACAATTTTTTAATAAAAGAGACCGTTATACATTTACATTTTGTTACGCTTAGTTCTAATGTGGAAGAGCCAAAGTCCGTAAGCTATGACTAGTATGAAATAACAGAAAGATAAGATCCATCTAGCTTTCAAATTTATGCATCCACATTCACATACACTTACCAGTTCTGGGTAATATGTTCACTTAACTAAAAAAAATACAAAAACTATCTGATTTTCAACATGACATGTAAAAGCAAAAATGAAAACCAACTCCTTTTTTTCTGGTGTTGAACTGAAAAGTAATAAGAAATTCTTCAAAATGCTGAAAAACTTTCTCAGTAATTGAGTGTCATTAACTAAGGATAAGATAATTATGCTGAAAAAATGACAGAAGTCACCTACGGCTCTAGGCTATACTTTATTTTATAAATCTAAAGATAGCTCAGATAAGGAGCTTAGGAAATGAGGTATTTTTCACTTGTAAATATTCTTCACAAAAAAATTGAAGTGAGAAATGTAATTGTTCTCTAAGTCACCTTTTCTTCTTGCAGAGGTAGTTGATCTCAAACCAAGTAAAAGGTGATTAACAGAGGAAAATATTTGCATTCATGCTGTTCAGAACTTTTTCTTTCTCCTAATTATTTCTTAATTTTAATCCTTCTTAATCAGAAGGAAAATGTGCCAACGATCATCCTGGGCTGAGTATTTAGTAATGGAAACTACCCAAGCCAAAGCTGCAGAGGTGGAAGAGGGGAGAGCAGGACACAGATGATTTTGGCTGGGGAACTAGCAGAGAGGGGGAAAAAAATTGTGGGAAGGAGAACGCCAGGCTGGTGAGAAAGACTGAGTGTATGAGGAGGCTGGATGTGGCCTTGGAAGGTTTTGTGACAAGAAAACCAGGAAAAGTTGGCAAGAATCCTGGACAGCCCCTAGTGGAGACCAAGGCTTCCAGGACAAAGAGACAGCAAAAGGCATGAGCACTAAGACTGATTAAATAAAGTAAATAAGCTGAGAAGAGGAGGCAAGGACAGCAAAAAAAACCCAGGAACAGCTTAGAAGAATTGGGGCCAGCCAAATATATCCTCATCTAAAGTGCAACTAAGCATCTACTTTGGTACATTGATTAGCACCGTTACTTACGTATGCATCTTGAGAGGGTGGGGTCTGGCACAAATCCCATTTTGCAGGTACATCTGTAGCTGCCCATGGTATTCAAGCACTCACCATTAGGGCATACTCCCTGCAACTGACACTCATTGATATCTGTGGGAAAATTGAAAAATAATCAGATACTGAAACATGTTTTAATATTCTTCTTTCTTCGGATGTTATTTTTTTTTTAAATATGAGCAGGAGAACTGTTACAAGTTAACACTCCAATCAACATTTCTTTCTGTACTGACAACATGTAATTCATAACCTTTTAAAACGCTGCTGAGAACATAACAGAAAAGCAATTACATTCATACATCATACTCTGAATTAAAAAATAAATACACTTTGACTGCCTTATCAACCCCTGTTTTCCTGACTAGATGATTGCTTGCACAGTCAAACACAACTCACAAGAACATTCAGAGAGACAAGTTTTAAGCAATGTAATATATTTTATACAGGGTGGAACACTGCTTGACACATTTAATACAGTTTTTATTAGTATTTGTATTCGGTAGTGCCTGAAGGTTCATTGTGCTGGAAGAAGCACAGCGCAAAAATACCATCTCTAGGCTAGAGAGCTTACCATCTTAATAGCAAGAATATGCTTCAGGAAGCACAGAACACGTGATGTGGGACAAAAAGGATTGCATCCATGGGAACACAACCTTGTAATAACTAACAACTGCTTTGATATAGCTTGCTGTTATGAGGCTACCTGCATCGGTATCCCTCTCACTGAATTGTTCTCCCGTGCCCCAAGCATTGGGCCTCAGGCCTGTTACCACATTTGGGGTTGTATCTATAATTCACTTACTCTTAGAATAGGACCTGTCTGACAGTCATCTGGATACCATCTGTAACTAAGCCAGCCAAACTAGGATTTTATTTCAGGAGACAGTAACAATGTAGCTTGCTCTGATAATCAAAACCTTAAAATAATTAAATAAAAAACCCAAAACAAACCAAAACCCTAACCTGTAATTGTCTCTGTCATAAATTGTTACGTCTCCTCTTTCAGAAAAATAGAGACAACGCATTGAAACAGACCTACTTTAAAATGTTTATATGCATTATATCTCCCCAAGACTTTCCCTCCCTATCCCTAAGCTAGGAAAAAATGCCTACTTTGCTGGGTAAACAAGCTTCAAGTGGAAGTCAGATATTCCAGCTAGCTCCTTGGAAACCAGGTTATTAGCAATCATTTTATCTAAAATACATAATATTTACTACCCTTCCTCTTAGTTTTTATAAAACCTTCACCATTTTATTTGACCTCATTGTATGTTGCTGCCTGATCCAACACAATCAATGAGGGTAAGAAGTTGCATATGTAAAATAGAACAGATGTGCTGGAGTTTGCTTTTGGAAACCTACACAAACAATCTTTCACATTCCTACCTTCTTCATTTTTCTCCACAAGTTTGGCTACCTGTCCCACTACACAGGAGCACACCACTTAACTGCAGACTCTAGCAGTTGCCATGTCAGCTGCAATTTTTTCCAAACACGCAGTGTTGAGCTTACTCCTCAGCTCTTCCAGTGCTATACCTAATCCAGTATCTTGACACCACCTGGATCAACTTCACCTCTATGCACTTAGCCACACGTGACAAAGAGTCATCATTTATAACCTATAACTTTGCATGAAATGTGATGGAAACCACATGAATTACAAAGGATCAGCTCTGCCTCAAAGGAATTTTTCAGTGAAATTCCCAGACTACATGACTTTCTGACCTCAGAGAGCGGACTATTTAAAAAAGGAGAGCAGTATAAGAAAAGAGCACAAAAAACTGCTGAAATATTCTCCTACAGCAGTCTACCTTTTGACCCATCCAACCTTCGAGCAGGAAGATGTCCCATATAAGCACAGGAGTATCTTATTTAAGGATTGCACTAATACAGAATATTTTGTAAGCTGGACTTGTTCTGATGCACTCAAAAATTTTTTAGACAGTTTCTTCAGTCGCTTACTCAGGTTATTTCTTTTGCCCTGAAATCTCAAAATATGATTGAAGGCATCTACAGAATGCCAACTGATTCCAAAAGGAAAATCATAATTGTTTCAATACCATTGTCTTTTGTGACTATTGCAAGGAACGTACTTAAATCTTAACAGCTAGCAAACTAAAGACAATATTGAAACAATATTGTTGTAAAGTTGTCAGGAGGAAAGAACATACTGCTAACCCTCCACTTTGAAACATCAGGCATGACAAGTAACATAACAAAAGAGAAAACTATGAAATAGTCTTTGCTTTGATGAAGCACTAATTCTGTTGTTGGAAACAAGTTAGAGGAAGAGACAGTAGGCTTTACTCTGAATACAGGAAAAATCTTTATATCCAGGTTCATTTCAAAATTAAAATCGTCAACACAATTACACAAATACACAAATTACACAAATACACATATTACACACATATGTGCAAAAAGCACGTACAGATTTCGGAGGAAGAGGAAAAACATAGGAGAAATTGAGAGATAATATAAAAAATTTAAAATCAAGATACATTCTTTTAATAAGGACTGAGCTCTTTTATTTTCATCTGACTTTTGCTTTTTATAATTTAATATTAGTTACTCATTCAATATAAGTTATATCATGTATATAATATCATTTAATATTAGTTAGTTGGTGTTGACATTAGTATATACAGTGAAAATAATTGCTCACCTTCTACATTGTAATAGCCAGACATTTTTAAACAATTTTCTCCCTTCGCAAATTCTAAGTATACCTTTTTATTTACAGCAAAATTAACTTATAATACTAGGAAAAAAAATGGAAGATATCTCTCGGGGACATACACAACATACTGCTTTTTCTTGTCACTTTTTCTAGAATATATATCCATGTAGAATTAGCAGAAATGCTTTGTCTAGTGAAGACAACATTTAAATTTTAAATCAGTGAAAAAGTCAACTCAGTTTAAATAATATTAATTTGATTTTATAGTTCTTACTTTCAAGGAAAGACCAAGTCTCTTGCTTGTTAACCATTAAATACATCTTGGAGGACAACTCTACCATTCTACATGTATTTAAGCAAGGTAGGTAATTACATAGCTTAACATAAGTGCATTCATACTGTCAATGTTTAAAATTATTAATGATGTATTTTTCATTTATTAGATGATGATTTTACTCATTATTTGCATCAAGCTTCATTTTAAGGAATGTTAAAAATCCATATATGGATTTTTTTTTTATTTGAATACTGAAGGTATATAGGCAAGTAAAAATCAAAAAGTAGAATCTTGCAAAGACACAGATAGATAAGAAGAGAAAAAACCATTTATGAAAGCTGCTTTCGAACTTGAATTGTAATAGTTTTATTCACAATGCTGGTATTATCTGTACTACTCAAATTAACCATATCCTTTAAGTTTATAGAACTGTATCTGTATGTTGTAGAAGGAAAAAATGGTGTCTGTCATTATAATTCTCAAGCAGTTTTTCAACTTTGAATAACTTAGCTACTGAACTGAAATGCATCTATATGTATATATTTACAGTGAAACAAAGGAAAACAATTCTATTCCGCAGAAGGGGGTACAAAATCTGGTTTTGCACTTAAGTTCTAGTTACAGGTTACAGACCTCAACAAGCTCAGTGATCTTGAATACCTAGTAGCAAAACTGTGCTATTTGGATTTTACAACAAAATTATTTTTAACATAGCTTGTATTTAAGTCCTTATACAGATCAACTGTAATTGTGAATTTTAAACTGAATTGAATTTAAATATCATCTAAATTGCAATAATGCACTTTTGTACATATCTGAACTTTATTTCATGTCACTGCTGAGAAAAACTGTCATAGGAATCTATCAGATGCATTTGGTGATACTGGGAGCATCCTGTTTTAGAGTTTTTCCTACTAATAGTGAAGGTTTCATGGCATTATTTACTGAAGTGGCTAATTTGCAGGTAGATGGCATCTTTCAATAATTCATCAATACACAGTCATCTTTCTTTCCAAATGATTCAACTATTCTGCAGGAAACATTCACAGATGCTGTCATTACTGTCTCTGTATTAAATCTCTTCCCAGATGAACTGTTCTTTTATGTCTAGTATTTAAAAATATAACACCCCATTCACATGTACTCTGTTACTGGTATTTAATGTGGGCACTGCTACATTTAAGTACTGGCTTGTATGTATGTAAGTACCAATGAATGTTCTTTCTAGAGTTCCTGATATGGATACTCTCTTGCTAATTTTGTCCAATTTTTAAAGTTAACTTTATTGTGCATGTTCTGATGCTTCAGCATAACTTAATTATAGTGTATTTTTAATGCTTCTTTTCCAAGTCATGTTTTCTCAATGAGCTCATAGAATTACTGAGCTGATGTTCTATGCTGAATTACACAAACCTATCTAGGGATTCAACAGAAACAAGCCACAAGTTGATAAAAAACCTTCAAATTTTCAAAAGAAACATACATACATGTAAGAATAGTATTTATTTAACAGCTTTGGGTAAAAAAAAGCACCTTCCAGATTTACTATCTGCTTCATTTTATTCAGTTATTCACTGTTATTCAGAGTGTGGTAAAAGGCCACCTACCCAAAATGTTTCCTACCACCTGCCAGTCTGCCCAGCTGTGCAAATTGCACTGGAATCAACTTGTCCAGGCAGCTGGAAAAGAAATCTGATTCAAGATTAACAGACCCTTTTTTTTTGAGCCCTCTCTTTCTTGTATATGGACATAAAAAATATTTCAGTTTTAAATTAGTATAGCAATAAGAATTCATTTGCTCCATTGTGAAAACTAGAGAAAAAACTACTTTAAAGTTGTCTGAATAATCTTTTGTTGTGCAGAAGTACGAACTGACAACATGCTTGTAGAGTGATTTGATCAAACACCTTCATCTACACAGAGGAAATATTTTAAGGGGCTATGTAGCAGTACTATAAACCCATATATATGTAAATAAAGCTTTCCAAAAACAACTAAAAATTAATTTTCAGTTTTCAAGGAAAACAGAGTAATGAAGTTCCACCAGTAAAAAGCCTCTGTGTTCGTGACAGAAAAAAAAGTTTAAGCAAGGAGCTTTTCCACACAGCACCTTGCTTGGCTCCATAGCAAACTTGC